CACGATCTCAGCTCACGGCAAACCTCTGCCTCCCAGGTTCAAGCGATTCTCCTGCCTCAGCCTCCGGAGTAGCTGGGATTACAGGTGTCCACCACCATGCCCGGTTAATTTAATGAATCCAGAAATGTCAAGACATTACCCCAGGATTCAACAGCACATGAAGGACAAAGCCAGGACCCCACCCTTATTCTTTCAAGGCTGGCCTGTGCCGTGGAGCTCTTCCACACACCTCCCTCTCCAAAACAAGGAGAAGCCCAAGACAGTGACTCAGAGCCCCCTTGGCAGTTTTGCTGATAATTTTTTTGTTTTGAAGTGAGATGTTCTGCCTCTATTAAAGTCTTTAGGAAATTATAGTGATTTTGACTTTTTCAGACATGTTTGAATTACTCACAGTCTGGAATTCCCAGGCAGGGAGTGATATTTAGAGATGCCTTCGAATACAGAAGTTAGGGGCACAGGATTTGGGATTAGAGGGATCCGGGTTCAGATCCCCACTCTACCACTTAGTAACTATGTGAGTTAATCACAATGAGTCTTGGTTCCTCATCTGGTTTTGATAACAAACACCAGGACTTAGTTCAAGGGTTGCTGGGAGACTAAATGAAGCAATGAGCAGAGAATGGTGCAAAGGAGACCTGAGTACATGGCACTGGGGTTATTCCCTGGACACCTGCTGAAGCAGGAAGGCCAGGATCTGACTTATCAAGCACACACCCAGTCTGCATGAAGGCTCGAGTGCAGCCTGCATGGCTTATTCTTCAGGAGCTGGGTTGCATGGTTTCAGATCTGGCTCTGTCACTCATCTGGGGCCAAAGAACGTCCCCTCTCTGAGGCTCTGTTTCCCTCCAGGAAAAATGTGGACGATGACAACTCAGTTCTGTTGCCAGGACCCATGTGGTCAGTGCTTAGAACGGTGCCTGGTACACAGTCGGTGTTTATAGATGATCCTTTTATCACTGCCTCTGTTTTTTCTGCTTGTACCTGTGTTTCCAGCAGGGCAGCAAGAGCTCGTGTGTCTGCAGACTTAGCGGGAGAGTTTCCATACTTCTGTTTCTGCCAAATATGGTGTGCATTTGTACTTTTCTTGTTCAGTGTGGCCCGGTCTTTGCCCATGCTGTTCCCTTTGCCAGGAACTCCCTTTACTTCTCTGTCCCCATCGATCGACATCCTTCCAATGTCCAGTTCACAAGGCTGTGTGAAGAACTTTCCCCATCTGCCCAGTCAGATCTGACCTGACCATGCATAAAGATTCTGTGGTGTCAGGGGAGAGGCAAGGTGGGGGAAAACTTGGAAAGTTCTAAGTGGTTACCCTACGTTGGAATAGTGGTAACCTTCAGTGAGGAAGGGGGAAGGATGTGGGTGGGACAGGGAGCATTTCCAGGGGACAAGACATGCTCTATTTCTTAATCTTTATGAAAACTTCAACAAATACTTGTTGTCTGTGCTGTCCAGGGACTGTGCTAGAGTTAGACCCTCCTTTCCTTTTCACAGCCCATTTCTGTGCTTGAGCACTGATTTTATTCTGCCCTACCCTATAGCATCAATTTTTCTCCCTAGAGTGCAGATAGTAAAGGGCCTTATAAACTTGCATAGTGTTCCGTGGCCAGTTTGTGCCCTGGCAGCCTCTCTGTTTTGGACTTTTCTTCCTGACCATAGATTGGGGTGGGACCAGCTGTGTGAAGTCTCTGAGCCACTGCAGTTGGATCTGAGCATGCTCAGAAGGACCACAGGTTACCACCACCCAGCTGGGGATTCAGAATCCTTGAGAGGTAGACCCCAAAGGAAGGTGAAGGCTTTAAACTGTTATTGTAAGTGTGTCTTCTTCTCTGTGGGTTGCATGGAGATCAAAGCCTGAAGGAAGTAGAAGGTTGCTCTCTGACAAAAACACCGTATTTTTAGAAGCATTCGGTGGTTTAGGATGTTTGCCCCAATACTGCCTTTCAGTGGCAGGGGGTAGGGCTGGGGGTGGAGGCCAAGGGCTGCGACCTTGGGCGGAGGTTGGTGGGAGCAGGTTTCCTGGCACGGGGCCCAAGGGTGGAGGCTGAGGGTGGGAGGACAGCCAATCATCACTTATCTTTCTTGAAGACCAGAAAACCAGGCCAAAGCATTTCAGGTTGTGGGGAAGGGGGCTTATGGAGTCTCTGTGGCATCTCCTTCTTTCAGAGATGGAAAAACTGAGGCCCAGAGAGGAGCAGAGGCTTGGCTTAGCTCCACCCCCACCATCCACGCACCCTCCCCATCTGGGGATTTGGGGCTTGCACATATGAAACTGTTAGAGAACAATGCGTGCATTCTGTAATCAAGGCTAATTGGTGTGGTTCAGAAGAGGAGAAATGCCAGGCGTTTGGGGGCAGGACATCAGTGGGTCTCTGAACCAACCACCCAGGAATAGTCCACGAAGAATTAGAGCAGCTCCTGGGGCCTGGGAAGGGCAAACCTTGGGTAGGTGAGAGGACATTCAGGCAGCATGGGTAGTACTTGGAGGTGGGACCTAGCTTGGCCTGAATGTGGGGACTGATGGAAGGAAAAAATGGGGCAGAAATTTGGGTCCTCCCCAGACTGGATGAGCACTTTGGCGCCCACCTCACTAATTCCTACTGAGCCACATTTTCTTTCCTTTTTTTTTTTTTTTGAGACAGAGTCTCACTCTGTCACCCAGGCTGGAGTGCAGTGGCACGATCTCAGCTCACTGCAAACTCTGCCTGCCACGTTCAAGCCATTCTGCCTCAGCCTCCCGAGTAGCTTGGATTACAGGTATGCGCCACCAAGCCTGGCTAATTTTTTTGTATTTTTAGTAGAGACGGGGTTTCACCACGTTGGTCAGGCTGGTGTCGATCTCCTGACCTCAAGTGATCTGCCTGCCTTGGCCTCCCAAAGTGCTGGGGTTACAGGCAGGAGCCACTGCACCTGGTCATGAACCACGTTTTCAAAGGTACCTCGGAGAAGTGAACTGGCTACTGTGCATGCAGAAGGGAGCAGGGAAAGGCATGTTGGGGGGTTGCCTGGCTCCCCCAACCTCTCCCTAGTGCCTCTACCTTATAATCATGGCAGCCCTGCCTTAATGTTTCTTCCAGTATCCTAAACAGCTAGGCTGGGATGGCGAGCTGTAATTTCTATCATTTTTCATATGGGTTATAGGCTCCTTCAAATGGGAACCACATTGGATAAAGGGCAAACCATAAGGGTAGGATGTTGAGAAATATGGTCCTAAGAAGCCACCTGCTTCTCATTTGGGATGTGCCCGGTTTATTGCTTGGTCCCAGTGCCCAGCTGGTTTTGGAGCTGGCAGAGCAGTCATAGATTACTGTCCTCATCAGTCATCTGCATTGAGGCTGGGGTGAGCAGCTCAGAGCCTGGGGTGTGCCCCCATGCAAAGCTTTGCAGAGACAGTTGGGAGCACTCTGCTCTTTGTCCTCGCCTGTCCCTGCAGGTGGCCATCTGGAGAAAAGCGAGTCCAGGCAAAGCCCCAGAGCCTGTGGCAGGCTGGGCACCCCTGGCTGGTGCAGGCAAGCAAGAACTCTGGGCTCCTGCAGTCTTGGCTTCTTGCAAACTGAGAATTAGGGCACCAAAGTAGGCAAAGGGGCCAGCTGCCATGACGATGAAGGAACCATGGCTGCATGCAACATTGTGGATGAACTTTGAGCACGACATGTGGAGCAAAAGCTGAAAGGATGTGTGTGATTGAGCCTAGTTGTATGAAGTTCACAACTGGACAAGCTCTTCCATGGTGTTTGGGGAGAGGCAAGCTTGGGGAAAACTTTGAACGTTGCAAGCGATCACCCTAAGTTGGAATAGTGGTAATAGTGGTAACCTTCAGTGAGGAGTGAGGGGAAAGATGTAGGTGGGACATTTCCAGGGGATAGGCCATGCTCTATTTCTTGAACCTGGAGGTGGCCACATGAGTGTTCACTTTGTCATAATTCATTAAGTTATACATTTATGCTTTATGTACTTTTCCTGAGTGTTTTACTTTTCACAATAAAAAGGGTTAAGAAAACAAAAACGGAGGCATTGAATGATTGAGACTGGCACCTTCCCCAGTTTGCCTCCTTCTCTCTTTTTTGCCCGCTGGTACCCCTGGAATGCTCTCCCTTGCCTCCTCCATGCCTGTGGTCAGCCCCCTTCCAGCTGTCTCTCCCAGCCTGGCTCAGGCCTCGGCCTGCCCTAAGACTGATGGAGTCACAGGCTAGTGGGGCTTCCTGACTCCCAGAGAGCTTGGAAGCTCAGCAGCCTTGGGGGCCCCTTTTTAGTAGCACTTGGCCCGCCCTGTGCCTAGCCCAGCACTGGGACCTGTGATGGGTTTCGTTGGGGGCTCTGGGGACGGGTTCCCTTGCTCAGAGATTTTCTGCTTTTTCCCTCATCAAGTCGTTGTCAGAGCTCCTTGTTTTTTTTGTTTGTTTGTTTTGTTTTGTTTTTGAGACACGGTCTCACTGACTCTGTCTCCCAGACTGGAGTGCAGTGGAGCAATCTCGGCTCACTGCAACCTCCGCCTCCCGGGTTCAAGTCATTCTCCTGCCTCAGCCTCCCGAGTAGCTGGGACTGCAGGCACCTACCACCACGCCCAGCTAATTTTTGTATTTTTAGTAGAGACGAGGTTTCACCATGTTGGCCAGGCTGGTCTTAAACTCCTGACCTCAGGTGATCCGCCCGCCTCAGCCTCCCGAAGTGCTGGGATTACAAGTGTGAGCCACCATGCCCTGCCGCTCTTTTTGTCTTTGAGAACAACTATGGATACATGAAGGTGAGTACTGCCTTTCAGTGGGTGCAAGGAATCCCTGGGTGTTGATGTTGAAGAAACCATTCGAGAAAGTGAGGATTGTGGGGTTGGGGTTCCTCGGTGGAGGGGCCTGGGCTGTGGGCTGGCTTCCTCCCCACTCCCTATTTTTCTGGGGTAGATGAATCTCCCCAGCGCCCAGGCCTCCTGGCTCTTCCCCGGACCTTTCAGGTGAGAAACTTTCCATTGTTGCCTTATCTCAGCAATCCGCCTCTCTTCCTTGCAGCGACCGCAGGTGCACACAGATCTGAGGCCCTGATCTGTTCCACTCTCTTTATGCCAAACAGAGGAGGGACGCGAACCCCAGCATGAAACGGCGCCCACAACCACAAGGCCCGGTGTGCGCCCTCTGAAACCGTAGGTAAAGACAATTACCGGCAATTTCCACAGCATGGTTTGTTTTTTGTTCAAAGGCCATGGAGGCATTCTCAGCAGCAGGCCCAAAATGTAGTATTCCCACCGCACGCCGCCCTCATGAATTTGTGATAAAAGCTGTGGTCGCTTTGTCCCGGCTCTTCCTTTTAACAGTCAAACCTTCAGGTTTGATGTTGAAACTGCTTTTTTCTTCAAGTGTACTTTGATGGTGAAGATAACGCTCCATGATAAGGAACCTGCCTTCAAAACCACTCACTGTACCTCGTGCTCACCATTAAGATGCACGTCACAAGGGAAAATCAGGCACCTGAATTTTTGAGTAGTGGGATAGGAATGTGCTGAATCTGTGAAATTCTCCTCTGTGCTGCCTGTATTGGAGATTTTGCCATCCCCCAACCCCCAAGAAAAAGAGAAGAAGAAGAAGGAGAAGGGGAAGGGGAAGGAAGAAAGAAGAAAGAAGGAGAAGAAATAAAGCACCAGGCACTGACCAGAAGGAGGTCCTGGGACGGGAGGAAAATGGTGTGAAACGTCCTAGAAACAGCTGTTTTTCCTTTGGCAAAAGCTTTCAAGAATCTGCACGTTCGTGCCCATCTGTTTTCCTTAATTAAAAAGACTCTGCAAAATTGATGCTAAGTGGCCCAGAGCCTCTAAGAGCTTGTGAATATCTGAGTACTCTTGGGGAGGCCGCCCAGGTTCCAGGTTCCTCAGCTGTTGCATCTCCTGTAGTCGTGTTTAAGCTCTTCCCTTTGTTCATCAATATTTGCAATCTCCCAAGGGCTGACTACCCTTGGAGCCATTATATCACAATAGGAATTGAACCTGTGTTGCTTTGTGTAAGCAATGATTGTTTTTTCATTCTAAAGCACTTTCATGTCTATTATCTCCCTTCCTACGGAAAAAGTTTTTATTTATTATTATTATTATTATTTGAGATGGAGTCTTGCTCTGTTACCCAGGCTGGAGTGCAGTGGAGCAATCTTGGCTCACTGCAACCTCTGCCTCCCAGCTTGAAATGATTCTCCTGCCTCAGCCTCCCAAGTGGCTGTGATTACAGGCACACACCATCACACCTGGCTACATTTTTTTGTATTTTTAGTAGAGACAGGGTTTCACCATATTGTCCAGGCTGGTCTTGAACTCCTGACCTCAAGTGATCCGCCCGCCTTTGACTCTAAAAGTGGTGGGATTACAGGTGTGAGCCATTGCACCCAGCCTTATTTTTTATTCTATTTTTCAGAGATAGGGTCTTATTCTGTTACCCAGGCCGATCATAGCTCATACTAACCTCAAATTCCTGAGCTCAAGCAATCCTCCCACCTCAGCCTCTCAAGTAGTTAGGACTATAGGTATGCGCCACCATACTCAGCTAATTAAATGTTTGGGTTTTTTTTAGAAATGGGGTCTTGCTATGTTGCACAGGCTGGTCTCAAACTCCTAACCTCAAGTGATCCTCCCACCTTTGCCTTCCAAAGGGCTGGGATTACAGGCGTGAGCCACTGCGCCTGGCCCTGTGGAGAAGGTTGACCAATATGGCAGCCTATGCAAACCCCTGAGGTGTTCTATGCCCATTTTACAGATAAGGTAAGAGCAGTTTGAGCAGCAGCTGCAGAAAGAACTCTGAAGCCAAAGGAGGCTTCTGGGGGAGGTCCCATAATTGTGTCTGAAGAGACTAGGCATGCTCAAAGACGTCCAAGCTTTGTACTGAAATCAGTGGCTTCCAGGTTTCTTAAGAGAGACCATCTTGGCTCTTGATTTTATTTTTCACTTTGTCTTGTGCCCAAGGACCCCAGAGATCCCAGGCCTGTGAGGTAGAGAGGTGAGAGCTGGCTTACATTAGTCAAACCGTGGGTTGAATCCTGGCCTACTAGCTGTGTGACACTAGGTGAGCTACTTCAGATCTCTGGGCCTCAATTTCTTCATCAGGAAAATGCCAGTGTCACAGTAAAATCTCTTTAGGGTCCCTGCCAGGCATGACAGTTGATAGTTCTGTTATTCCCTGGATTGCCCTGGATTTGCATCAGCCTAACACCTGGCAGGTTTTGAAGCCCATTCACATGCTTTTAGCAGCTCATTCAATCCCCACCACAGCTCTGTGGGTTGGGGAGGCAGGCAGGCCTGCCATGTTTTCCCATTCCCATTTGAGAGATGGGGAAACTGAGGCACAGAGAGTTGAAGTGGCTAGCCATGGGAACCACAGCAGGCTGGGGGTAGCCAGGACCTGAGCAGGCATGTGGGGACCTCTGGATCACTGTCTTGTGGGCAACCTCATCAACAGGGATCCCCACCATGACACCCTGGAAGGCCAAGCATTGTCATGGCCATGACACCTGCTGAGACCAAAGTATGGGCCAGTTTCAGGGTCTGGCTTGCAGTGTCTGGCCCTCTGGGCCTCCTTACCCCATGCAGCTCCAGTTGCTCGGCTCTCGGCCCAACATAGAACACTGGGCAGGATTCAGGAGCTGCTCCCGGAGGCCCCTGCAAAGGCCTTTCAGAGGAGGTGGCCCTGGAATCACTACTCCAGCAGACTCTTCCTACCTCGGCAACTCCCCTCTGTGTCCACACTCCCTGCCTTGGATCACACAGGTTTCCTTTCTTGGAATCCTCTCATTCCTCCTCCCTGCCAACCTGATTCCTAGCTATCCTTTAAAGTCCAAGGACCCTGTGTTTGAGCCAAGTGCTCTACATACATTTTGTTATTTAATCATCTCTAAGTCTGTTTTCTCATCTCTAAAGTAAGAATAAAAATACCCGTGATAGCATAATTTGCCCCCTATTTTACCAAGGAGGAAAATGAGGCTCATGCCACATGCCTGAGGTCACACAATTCATAAGGAATGGAGCAAGGATTGAGCCTTAGGGCTTAAAAAGCCTGGGACCTCTGCACCACTCCACTTTGAATTCTTTATCCAGGTCACAAAGCACTGGAGGACTGCTCGGGCCCGTGGCCACTGGAGCATTCCCAGCCTCTGCTAAGTGTCTGTCCTCTGGGTCTCTCTTGTCTCCCTCTGTGAACTCTGAGTCCTACAGGCCAGAGACTGCATCCTGTCTGCTCCACACCCTAGCCTGTCATATAGTTGCTCTTGGTAAGTCCTTGCTAGTTGAAGGCTCATAGTGGACACATCTGCTGTGCAGAGGGATACCAAGGCCAGCTGAGACCTGGAAGCCTGGAGCCTGGACATTCCAGAACTCTTTGACATAGCACTTAGAACACAGAAGTACATGCCGGGCGTGGTGGCTCACGCCTGTAATCCCAGCACTTTGGGAGGCCGAGGCGGGCGGATCACAAGGTCAGGAGATCGAGACCACGGTGAAACCCCATCTCTACTAAAAATACAAAAAATTAGCCGGGCGCGGTGGCGGGCGCCTGTAGTCCCAGCTACTCAGGAGGCTGAGGCAGGAGAATGGTGTGAACCCGGGAGGCGGAGCTTGCAGTGAGCGGAGATCGCGCCACCGCACTCCAGCCTGGGTGACAGAGTGAGACTCTGTCACAAAAAAAAAAAAAAAAAAAAAAAAAAAAGAACACAGAAGTACAGTTTTCCCCACTGACCACAAACTTGGTCATGATTCTTCTAACCATGCAGGATAATACAACATTTAAAAGCACAGGCTTGGCTGGGCACAGTGGCTCATGCCTGTAACCCCAGCACTTTGGGAGGCCGAGGAAGGCGGATCACTTGAGGTCAGGAGTCTGAGACCAGCCTGGCCAACATGGTGAAACCCCCATCTCTGCTAAAAATACAAAAATTAGCCGGGCATGGTGGCAGGTGCCTGTAATCTCAGCTACTTGGGAGGCTGAGGCATGAGAATTGCTTGAACCCAGGAGGTGGAGGTTGCAGTGAGATGAGATCGTGCCACTGCACTCCAGCCTGGGCAACAGAGTGAGACTCCATCTCAAAAAAAACAAAAAAAACACAGGCTCAGGGTTTGACACTGTTTTCCATCACTGTGTGACCCAAGGCAAGTGACTTTATGTATTTCATAAATCTGAATCTTATGTATTTCATAAATCTAAATCTGCATCCATTGTAAGGTATATCATATTTTATGTTGTACCACAAAAGGAAAAGCACTCCTTGCCAGTTTAGCTATAAAAGCCATCAATTGTAAGATGCGTCTCAGTTTCAGAGAAGCTAAGATTTATACAGACATTCACCAAAAAAAATTTTTTATATATATAGATATAATATTAATTTGCATTTCCCTGATGATATATATATATATAAATGGCTGATATGCACATGAAAAGATACTCAACATCATTAGTCAAGTCATCAGGGAAATGCAGATTAAAACCACAATGAGGTGCCACTACTGCATCCATTAGAATAGCTGAAAAACAAAATGAAACGAAGCAAAACAAAACCCAAACTGACCACACCAGGTTGGCAAGGAGGTGAAGCAGTTATATTGCTGATATGAATATAAAACCAATTTGGATAACAGTTTGGCAGCTCCTTCAAAAGATAAACACGTATCTATTATATGATCCAGACATTCTACTCCTAGATATTTACCCAATGGAAATTAAAACATGTCCACCCAAAGATTTCTACACAAATGTTTATAGCAACTTTATAATAGCCCAAAGCTAGAAACAACCATAAGGTCTACCAATAAGTGAATGGATAAAGATATTGTGGTATATCCATGCAGTGGGGTAGTATTCAGCGATCAAAAGGAATTCACTATTGGTATGTGCAACAACATGGATAAATCTCACAATAATTATGTTGAGTGAAAAAATCCAGACAAAAGAGAGTTCATACTATATAATTTGATTTATATAAGACTCTACAAAATGTAAAGGAATCTATATTGACAGAAAGCAGATCAGTGGTTGCTGAGGATTGGGGTAGAAGGAAGGAGGAATGGATTACAAAGAAACACAAGAAAACTGTTGGGAGTGCTGGAGATGTCTGTCGTATCGATTGTAGTAATAGCTGCACGGGTGTAAATATGTTCAAACTTACCGAGTGGAGGCTCAGACCAGCCTGCAGAGCTGCAGCCACCCTTCATGCCCTCCCTAACTTCCCTGCTGACAATCATGCTCCAGTTCCTACTTGGATTCACTTTGGCCAACGTGGTTGGAATGTATCTGGCTCAGAACTATGATATACCAAACCTGGCTTAAAAAAAAAGGACTTGAAGCCAGGAAGAAAGAAACCCCCTAGTCGATGAGGCCGACTCTAGCACTGCCTTCCGGATACACTGATTCCACCACTCTTGAGGGCCTCCTTTACCATCTCAACCAAAGTCTTTTGTTTTTATCTCCAGCCTCAGTGATTTTCTTCCTTGCTAGATCCTGTGTTTTTTGCCTTAGAGGAAGCAAAATGAGGCCCCAAGTTGAGAACTATCATTATGTTTCTGATATCTCACCTCTTGCTATCTCCTTCTTCCAGCTGAGTGGGAGGTTCTAAGACTGGAATTACGGTGCTAGATTAGTAAACATGACCTTTAATGAGTAGTCTTTTATTTATTTGGGATTTCTACTACCTTTTGTCAAAAGAAAAATTGAGGAGTTTGGTATAGCAGGTCAAATACAAATAATACTTATTTCACAGATTTTAGCAATTAAAATAGGTGCTTGTTAAACATTTGGTACTAAATTGTGTTGTTTTGGCTGGACAGGGTGGTTCACACTTGTAATCCCATTACTTTGGGAAGCTGAGGTGGGTAGATTGCCTGAGATCAGGAGTTTGAGACCAGCCTGGGCAACATGGTGAAAATCTGTCTCTAACAAAAATACAAAAAGTTATCTAGAGCCAGGTGTGGTGGCTCACGCCTGTAATCCCAGCACTTTGGGAGGCTGAGGCAGGGGGATCACCTGGTCGAGAGTTCGAGACCAGCCTGGCTGACATTGTGAAACCCCATCTCTACTAAAAATACAAAAAAGTAGCCGGGTGTGGTGGTGCATGCCTGTAATCCCAGCTACTCGGGAGGCTGAGGCAGGAGAATCATTTGAACCTGGGAGGCGGAGGTTGCAGTGAGCTGAGATCGCGTCATTGCACTCCAGCCTGGCAACAAGAGCAAAACTCTGTCTCAAAAAAAAAAAAAAAAAAAAAAAAAAAAAAAGTTAGCTAGGCATAGTGGTGCACACTGTAATCCAAGCTGCTTGGGAGGCTGAGGTGGGAAGATCGCTTGAGCCTGGGAAGCGGAGGTTGCAGTGAGCCAAGATCACGCCATTGCACTGGGCAAGAGTGAGACTCTGTCTCAAAATAAATAAATAAAATTAAAAATTTATGTAGTTTTAAAATTAAAATTACTATCTAGAGGAAAAAACCTCTTATCAGTTATACACTTTAAATATGTATAGCTCAGTAGACTTCAATTATACCTCAACAAAGTTGAAAAATATGAACAAATGTTTGTTTTAGAATAGAACCATATCCAGGAATATTGTTGTGAGACTTAAATGAGATCCAGCACTAGCCCAGTCTGGCGGGTGGTAAGAGCACCATAAAAGTCAACTCATGTTGTTAGTGCCCCAACACTCAGCCGCCCGTGGTACCGCACCGCCGCGGCTCAGCCTGCCCGTGGTACTGTACCTCTGTGGAGTCTTGCAGTTTTTGTTCCACTACAAGGTCCCATTACAGACAGGGGTCTGGGGCTGGGAGAGACCAAGGGCTCTGCCCCAGGTCCCACAGGGAGTTCATGCCAGCTTTTCTGGCCCAGAGTGAGTCCTGGGCCCTGTGGCATCTCTCACTGGCTTGACCCCAGGCTGGGCAAAAGGAGACAATCCCAGTGTCCAGGGGCCTAGAAATAGTCTGTTTTGTGGGAGTAAAGGCCACTGGAGACTGTGAAAGTGGCCATCGGCCGTGTGAGAAATCCTTGGTGTCTGATGATGGGTTCTTATCAAGGACAATTGACCACAATGAGTGGCCTGAGACAGGCCGATGCTCGGCCGGCTTTGATGTCACACATCTTGTGGCCTCTCTACATGGATGCGGCGTTCGTCTATGCAGCACTCACTGGCCGGGCCTCACGTCCCCTGTAAGCAAATGCTTGAAAGCCACTCTTGACAGCAACTGTGAGAAGCCCCCACCGCAGGCCGCCTTTGGGGCAGGCCAAGATTCAGCATTACTCAGAGCTTCCAGTACCTGCATAAGTTCAAACAGGAAGCCCGGTTTTTCCTCTTCTGTCAACAACAGCCTGTATTCTCTGTTCTGGCCGCTGAGCTCCCTCATGGAGTGCGTTTCTTGGGGTAAAAGTTAGGGTATCAGTGGCCCTTGAGGCCCCACCAGCAGATGTGTCTGCCAAAAGCAACTCACCTGGGAAGGCCTGGGGGCTTTGTGCTACCAAGTCTTGGAAATGATCTAGCAATCTAAGGCTTTGCAAACAAAGCGGGGATCTGGCCGCCTCAGCCTCCCAAAGTGCTGAGATTACAGGTGTGAGCTACCGTGCTTGGCCTTCTTAAAAGAAGAAATACTTAAAGTGCTTATTTATCAGAGTAGTGCTAATTAGTAGTAATTATTATCTGGTCATTAAATTAGACCTGCCTCCGGATCTCCTGTTAGGTACCCATAGAGGCCCATGTCAGGTAAAGAGCAGGCAAACTGTACATGTTTAAAATAACCTGATCCGCTCCCAGACAGCCAGGTGGTTGTCTCTCCTGCCTCTTCAGCCTCCTGTACCTAAGGCCTCTGGAGTCTTTGGATGGGATGATATTCTATCTGATCCAGCCTCCTGCCTTACAACCAGATGCACACAGCCATTGGGAGGAGGGCCGTGTCTTGAGCCCTTTGAAGGCTGTGTGGTGTAAGAACTCTCAGCCAAGGATGAGCCTCCCTGGGTATGGAGTCCCTCACACACACCATAGATCTTCCTGGGACCTGAATCCACTGGGTACCGGGCTATGCTGGGTGCTGGGGTGAGAGCAGTGAGCTAAGCAGACTCAGCCTTGCCAGTACGGGACTCAGGGTCTGGGAGGGGAGATGGGGAGACAGACATGCACAAACTTTAGACACACCAAAACACATATGGCAACAAAGGAAATGTCTGAGGTAACAGTGAAGGCTGACCTTGCAGAAAGTGACCTGTGAGTCTGGGGGACTCGGGAAGGCTTCCACAAAATGTGAGGATTCAGCAGAGATCTGAAGGGTGCATAGGAGTTATCAAGGTAAGAGAGGGCTGGGCGCGGTGGCTCCCGCCTGTAATCCCAGCACTTTGGGAGGCTGAGGCGGGTGGATCACCTGAGGTCAGGAGTTCGAGACCAGCCTGACCAACATGGTGAAATCTTGTCTCTACTAAAAATACAAAATTAGCCAGACAAGGTGGCATGTGCCTATAATCCCAGCTACTTGGGAGGCTGAGGCAGGAGAATTACTTGAACCTAGGAGGCAAAGGTTGCAGTGAGCAAGATCATGCCATTGCACTCCATCCTGGGTGACAGAGGGAGACTCCATCTCAAAAGCAAAAAACAAAACAAAACAAAAAACCCAAAAAAACCATGAGAGGGGTTGAGAGAGAGGGTTGCAAGCTCAGTAGTGCATGAGTAGTGTTGTGAAGAGTATTGTGAATAGTATGAAAACAGTAGCATGTATAGTGTGTGAATAGTAGTGAGTAGTGTATGAATAGTAGTGTGAATAGCAGCGTGAATAACAGTATGAAAGTATTGTGAATGTAGTGTAAATAACAATGCAAAGGCCGGGCGCAGTGGCTCACGCCTGTAATCCCAGCACTTTGGGAGGCCAAGGTAGGTGGATCACGAGGTCAGGAGATCGAGACCATCCTAGCTAACACAGTGAAAACCCGTCTCTACTAAAAATACAAAAAATTAGCCAGGTGTGGTGGCAGGCATCTGTAGTCCCAGCTACTCGGGAGGCTGAGACAAGAGAATGGCGTGAACCCAGGAGGCGGAGCTTGCAGTGAGCCAAGATCGTACCACTGCACTCCAGCCTAGGCAACACTGCAAGACTCCACCTCAAAAACAAAAAACAAAAAACAGTGAATAGCAGTGTAAATAGTGTGTGAATAGTAATCTGAATAGTAGTGTGAGTAGTGTGCAAACAGGAGTGTGAGTAGTGTGTGGATAGTATTGTAAATAGCAGTGTGAAAGTAGTGGGAAAGGCAGTGTGGATAGCACTGTTAATTGCAGTGTGAGTAGTATGCAGATAGCAGTGTGAATCATGTGTGAATAGTAATAGCCTGAAAAGTGTGCAAACAGTGCAAATAGAAGTGTGAATGGTGGTGTGAACTGTGTGCAAATGGTATATAAATAGCATGTGCATAGGAGTGTAACTAGTGTGTGGCCAGTACTGTGAATAGTAGCAGCGATGGTAGTGTGAAGAGAATTATGAATGGTAGTATGAATAGCATGTGAATTGTGTGCAAATCGTAGTGTGAATAGTGTATCCAGACTGTGTACATAGTGTATGAAAAAGCTCTGTGGCCTGCTGAGTGGCCAAATGGCTGGAGGAGCTGCCCCACTGAGCAAAGTTATGAGCAGAGAGGAGGGCTAGGACCCAGGTCTGGGGTCTGGGGCAGTCACTGTGGCGTTTGACTGTGCCATTTGCTCTGTCTAGGTTTTCCTGGGAAAGGAGCCTTTGATGGTGGATGTCTTCATGGCACATGTGAGGACCATCATTACCAAATCTCCCTTCATCTGTTTGGAGTTCCCTGCATCAGTCCATGATTCCTTATTGGGCAAGGTAAGCATTGTTCTTTAGGTTTCTTTTTAAAACTCTAAGCGCTATTGGGAAAGGGAAGCCAATGGTCCTCCCACCACCGAGTGACTGGGGCTGGGTGGGCTAAACCTGGAGGAGAAGAGGCCCGGGAAGGGTGAGGCTGCCACAGGTACCTCATAGGTTGGTTGACCAGGCCTGACTGGTAAGGCTGCTATCTGGCAACAAAACCTCTGCTCTGGACTTGCACTGTGAGGCCCTCTTCCCTCTTCTCAGGGTGATCTTGCATTGGTGAGTCAGGGTCAGATCCCTGGGGCCCAGCTCCATCCAGGCTCTGTGTCTGACATGAGGTTACAGAACACCCCCATGCTAGCATGCTTGCTCCCAAGTTTAATGTCCTTTTTCAAAGTAGATGTAATTTCAAAACTTTTATTCATTCTTTTTTTTTTTTTTTTTTGGTGAGACAGAGTCTGGCTCTGTGACCCAGTGCAGTGGCGGGATCTCTGCCTCCCGGGTCCATGCCATTCTCCTGCCTCAGCCTCTTGAGTAGCTGGGACTACAGGCACCTGCCACCACGCCCAGCTAATTTTTACATTTTTAGGAGAGATGGGATTTCACCATGTTAGCCAGGCTGGTCTCGATCTCCTGACCTCGTAATCCACCCACCTCGGCCTCCCAAAGTGCTGGGATTACAGGCATAAGCCACCGTGCCTAGTCAGCTTTTATTCATTTTTATGTTGACTTTTGATGACATATAAATACAAATAATGGGGAAAAAATAGCGTGATTAAAGTTAGAGTTCTTCCATCTCTGTCCCCCTCTTAGGGTTATCTGTTGGATGTGTCTTCTTCCAGTCTTTTTAAAATGCATTTTCATGGACAAGTATGTAGATACAAAAATAATTTTGTTTGGGATACACATACACACACACAAGTCTGAGTTATATGTATTATTCAGCAGCTTCCTTTTTCAGCTACTGGTACATGTTGGAGATCTTTGCACATCAATGTATGTAAACCTACTTCCTACTTTTTAAATGACTGTTTAGTATTCTCCAGTGTGTATTCCATGGGTTATTTACCATTCTCTCTCTGATTAACATTCACATTGTTTCCAGATTGTCACCATCACAAGCAACACTATAGCAAACATCCTTGTATGTAACTCAGCCTAGCTCAACTCAAGGATGGCTGTTTTGTTTGGTGATGAGGTCTGCATCAGAGGAGGTATTCAAGTAAAAGGTGAAATAATATGTCTTCCTCAACCCACAGCAGTGATGCTCAAACTTTGTTGGGTATGGAGACTACCTGGAGAGCTTTTTAAGCTACACATTGGTGGGCCAGACCCCTGGAATTTCTAATTCAGGAGGACTGGGATGAGGCCTGAGAATCTGCATTTCTAGCAAGTTCCCATGTGATGCCCCTGGTTTAAGGACCTGACTTTGGGAATCGCTGCCTCAGGGTGTTAGCTGCTCAGCCTCTACTTGTTTGAAGAGTCGCATCATCCTAGGAAGGCAATATTCAAGGAGAATTAATCTTGTGCCCCTCCCTCTACTAAGAGGTAGGCACCCTACCTGGCATCCCTTTGGGAGGCAGGGCCTTCAGGGCACTGGTGATGGGTCCAGAGGTCTGGTTAGCAGGGCTGTCAGGTCAGATGTTCCAGCTAGGCCTAAAAGCCTAGGACCTCTTGACTGTTGACATAGCCTGCAGGACCATCCTTTTCTAGGCACACAACTGCTCACCCCTGTGCAGTGAGCGACTCTCCCCGTTCTTCCCTTTGGAGCCAAATGAAGGGTTCTGAGATTGGCGGTGAGCTGTTTACACAACATGATTGGGAAGTGCTCTGGGGTTTTCATAACAGAAACAATAGGAGACCACATCCCCAGAGAAGGTCTTCTAAAGGTCTTGAGGTTTCAAGATCTTGATGTTCTCTTGGTTCTCAGCTGGACTGGAGGAGGTCACAATGGGGTTGGAGGAGACCATCACTGGGACCGAGATGGGAGGAAACTGGAGCTTGGACCCTTGGAACTAAAGACCATCAGAAAGACTTACTGCCCTTCCTGGGCTTACTTGGTGGCTTGGACACTTCTGCACCTGAGGATGGTCCAGTTGCAGGCTGAGGGTCAGACCCAATGGGCATTTGTCCGGTGTTTCTGCCCAGGGCAGAGCTGTCACCCTGCAGTTCACAGAACTCCTGGTCCTTTCTCTCCAGTGTGCTGTCCATGAACATCAGCCATCTTGATCATGAGAAAGAGGATTCCTGTCAACTGCAGGCTCCTCTGTTTGATGCAGGTAGCGAAGGGAGGTGGGAAGGAGGCTCTGTTACCTACCACAAAGTGACCACAAATCCTGTGAGATGAATGGGAGCTCCTTTGGAGCTCCTGAGAGCTGCAGCAGGTCCTGCCCCTTCAGTGGGACAGAGTCTGGCTCCAGTTATAATCCTGGGCAGTAATGTTTGGGTTACCCTCTCTCTCTGGTTGGGTAATATATAAATTCTTGTCTGTCTTGACTGGCTGTTGTTCATGGTTGTAAGCTCAACACCTAATATATAGTAGGTGCCTAACAGCTCCTGTTGAATAAATGAGATGAAGTTCTTAGAAGCTGTCTGCAAGATGAACTAGCCTTTACATTCCCTGGAATCGGTGGGCCAGACCCTAGGGCGAGCTGCTCAGCTACTTGAGAACCCCTTTGCATGGCTGCTGCTGTAGGGGACTGGGTTCCACTACCAGAATCAGCTTCCACACAACCTCAGATGCCAAAGGAGCCCTGGGGGGGAAACTCCAGCCTCCTATCCAGGGGTTACCCTGGGACAGGCCCACCAGAGAGGAGAGTGTACAGAGAGGGAGACTGGCTTCTCCCTTCCCAAGGAGGAGGGGTAGAGTGGATCTGTGACCATTATGTCAGCATTTCGCAGACCCCAGGTCCGCCCACACGGGCTAAGGGCAAGGCCATGCTGTGTCCAGGATCCATCACCCCGCCTCTCAACCCTCGGCCACCCTCCAACGCCGCACTAATACTGGAACTGGGTGGGGGTGGGGGCAGAGAATTTTAATTCTTTCAGACTCAAAACTTAACTTCTCATTTCTTTCAAGACACTCACCCCTCACCCAAAAAACGAAAGTCAAGGCTAAGGGGAATTCTGCGTGGTGGAAAAGCTTAAGGTGTTACTTTTGGTCTGGGTGAGGCTGGTCATCCGCATTTACCTCAGACAAAAGTGCCTGAGGCTGAGAGCCCTGAAGCTGAGGGTCTCTAGGTGGGAATGACAGGGTGGGTGGGGGCGTGGAGAAGGGCGCTCCCCCGAGGCTGGGCGAGGAGGATGTCGCCACCTGCACAGCTGGCGCGGCTGGGCCCGGGGTTGGTGGGAAGGGGCGAGTCCCTTTGTGGGCCTCCAAGTCCAGCCAGTCCCCTGCCGCCCCACACGCGGAGCTTTGAAGTGGCCGCGCTGGCTGCCCCCTCCCGCGCAGCGCCGCCCCCGCTGCGTCCGCACTTTCGCAGTGGCTGAGCGCTGTCCAAGGGAAGGGGCGGGTGGCACCCGCTGGGCACTTTTTGTAAAATCATCCCCCAGGAAGGCTGGGCCGAGGAGTCCCTCGGGGGAATCCGCCTCGGGGTCGCGGGGTCGAGGTGTGTTGGGTTAACCCCTAACACTTCCTGAAAGACTGGTCAGCCCTCGGGACTCAGGGTGGGACGGCAGAGCCCCCACCGCTAGGTTCCTCTGCTGGGCGGGGTTTACGCCCCTGGGAAGTGGCTGGAGACCAATTTCCTGTGAAAATCCTAAGAGCCATTTTGGCAATAAATTTGTACAAGTTCTTTAAAACTGTGCCGACCTCTGATCCAGCACCTCCTTGCTGCCTAGAAAATAATCGCAGATACATGCAAAAAAGTGTGTGCTGTGACACATTGGAACATTGCTTAGAACTGGAAAACCGTGGGAATATTCAGCAGTAGAGACTGTTACATTCACTAATTAACTAATAGTTTACCACGGCCAGACAGCATTGGAGAAAATCCTAGACTTCAAATCATGAGCAATGATGACATAGAATATTTACTATGAACAAAAAAATGCTCTTGACATTGTTATCCAATAACTATATAAGCCTGTATGGAAAAAAGACTGGAGGGAAATAAGACAATACATTCTTAGTAGTGGTTCTCTCTGGGTGCTGGGATTAAAGGATGACTGTAATTATCTTAGGCGCTTCTGAAATGTTTAATACTCTATGCCATAATCATGTATTTAAAAATAAATGTTATTTAGATAAAACCTTAGTTCAGCCAGGCGTGGTGGCTCAAGCCTCTAATCCTAGCACTTTGGGAGGCTGAGGCGGGCAGACCACTTGAGGTCAGGAGTCCGAGAGCAGCCTAGCCAATGTGGTGAAACCCCATCTCTACCAAAAATAAAAAAATTAACCGAGCATGGTAGGAGGCACCTGTAATCCCAGCTACTCAGGAGGTTGAGGCAGGAGAATCACTTGAACCTGGGAGGCAAAGGTTGCAGTGAGCCGAGATCACGCCATTGCACTCCAGCCGGGGCAACAGAGTGAGGCTCCACCTCCAAAAAAAAAATAAGAAAGTAAAGGAATAAAAGAACGACTGCTCCATAGACAGAGCAGAGGGCTGCTGGTTGCCCATTTGTACAGTTAGTTTTTTATTACATGCTAAACAAGGAATGGATTATTCATGCCTCCCCTTTTTAGATCATATAGGGTAACTTTCTGATGTTGCCATGGCATTTGTAAACTGTCAGGGTGCTGGTAGGAGAGTAGCAGTGAGGATGAAGATAGGTCACTCTTGTCACCAAGCTTGGTTTTGGTGGGTTTTGGCCAGCTTCTTTTTGCAAACTATTTTATCAGCAAGGTCTCTATGACCTGTATCTTGTCCCGACCTCCTGTCTCATCCTGTGACTTAGAATGCCTTAACCACCTGGCAATCCAACCCAGTAGGTCTCAGCCTCATTTTACTCAAGATGGAGTTGCTCTGGTCCGAACACTTTTGACACATCCATCAGCATGCAAACCAGCCCTAACCCAACCCGAACCGTCAAAGGTAGAGAAATAAAGAGAAACGCTGAGAAGCAGGAGTGAGATCCCCTCACTCCCCAAAGGCCATAGTGTGGTCTCCCAGAGGTTCTGGGTCTGATGATTCATCCTTTCTTCGATGCCACTCAGGAGGCCTGGGTGGTAGAGGAAGCTTCCAGGACTTGTCAGACATTCAGTTTCCTTCCTAATAGGTGGTAATCAGTTGGCTATGGGAGAGACTCCTCACCTCTGCGGGGGTCATCATTCCTTCCTCCTGCCCTGCCCCACCTTCATACGTTCCTGTGGTTAAGAACAGTCCTGAATTATTAGCGGATGGCTGGTGGAGAAGTATTGAGAACTACATTCTCCCAGGATTTATTCAGAGGGTTTGGGCTACAGCCCATTGAAATGGGCCCCTCCATCCTGCACCATAAGGTTTAGAGAGCACTAAAAAAATTTCCCTTATCTCTAGTCAACTCTGGTGATCCTTTGAAGATTTTGTTTCTAATTTGGCAGATTATTACTGTAAGTCATTTTGTGCTTCTGATTTCTTTAACATTCATTTTTTTTCTTCTGAAAGCACAGTAAAACATTGGGGGTGGCTGTGTGGGTGGGAGTCTTGCTGGGACTCCCAGAGAGGACTGCTACTAGGTAAAATTTGCTTTTACTAAAATGGGCGTGTGAACACACACACACACACACACACACACACAGAGTCACCTCCCAGAGAAGTCTTTTTCTATTCTAAATTCACTTTAGGTAAGTGTACCGATTCGGCCTAGAGATTTTTAAAAGACTGAAAAGAAATGTGAAAAGAAAAGCAAGATGCACAGAGGACAGAGTAAGTAGAAGAAACACCTCTACTATTAATTTCGGCAGAAGACAATGGAGAGAATGCGGAAGAAGCAATATGCAAAGAGCTGACAGCTAATAATTTTCCAGAACTGTTGGGTCTGTGACTCCTCAGGCTGAAGACGCACAGTGGTTTCCGAACAGAGAAAATATAAATCACTTTATACCTAGCCACGTTGTAGTGAAACTTCTTGACACCAAAGACAATGAGAAAATCCTAAAAGAAACCACAGAAAAAAGAAAAATTACCTACAAAGAAATCATAAGTAAACAGCCTTCTCATTAACAACAAAAGAGATCAGAATAATATCTTCAAAGGACTGGGGGAAAATAATTGTTATCCCCAAATTCTAAACTAAAATACATGTTGTTCAAGAATGAGTGCAAAATAATGACATTTCAGACCAAAAAAAAAAAAAAAAAGCACTGAGAAACATTTTCACATACGTCCTCTCATTGAAAACATTGCTGAAGAGTATTCCTCAAAAAGAAAAAAAAAAAAACAAACTCTGATAGGAATGGAAGGGAAGACACAATACTAAGGGGAAAAAGAATATGTTGGGTAAATCTCATAATCCTTGTGTATAAAACAACAACAATAATGACAGCAACTAATTGAGAGGGTTTAAAATGAGAAAAAAAATAAAGTGATAGGTAACAGTAATTAAGAAGATGGAGTAGAGTAATTGAAGTGAAGCATTCTGTTTTTGTTTTTGTTTTTGTTTTTTGAGATGGAGTCTCCCCCTGTCGCCCAGGCTAGAGTGCAGTGGCATGATCTCTGCTTACTGCAACTTCCACCGCCCAGGTCCAAGTGATTCTCCTGCCTCGGCCTCCCACGTAGCTGGTATTACAGGCTTACACCACCATGACCGACTAATTTTTGTATTTTTAGTAGAGACAGAGTTTCACCATGTTGGCCAGGCTGGTCTTGAACTCCTGACCTCAAGTGATCCACCTTCCTCGACCTCCCAAAATGCTGGGATTACAGGCCTGAGGTATCATGCCCAGCCGAAGTGAAGCATTTCATTGTTTTGGAAGACAGTGTAACAGAAAGTGAATTGATCATGAAGCTAGGGAAGTATAAGCTGCAAGAGTAATTTCTGTCTCCTCCTTCTCCCTCTCCTTCTCCCTCTCCCTCTCCCTCTCCTTCTTCTTTAAAAAAAAAAAAAAGAGAGCTTCCAAATTGAATAAGCTTCAGATCCCATAAAACCTGGATCTGTCTCTGAGGTACCATTAATATTTTATATTTGGCCTTTATTAAGACAGTTCTATAAGTTAAAAATGTAAAGACAACTACTAAAAGAAAACAGAATATATAACTTCTAACCTGCTAGGGAAAATAAAGATAAGAACATTTGATCTGACTGGGCACGGTGACTCACACCTGTAATCTCAGCACTTTGGGAGGCTGAGGTGGTGGATCACAAGGTCAGGAGTTTGAGACCAGCCTGGCCAATATGGTGAAACTCCATCTCTACTAAAACTACAAAAATTAGCCAGCACTCTACAGCCTAGGTGACAGAGCGAGACTCTGTCTCAAAAAAATAAATAGATAAAAATATTTACTATCGGCCAGGCACGGTGGCTCACGACTATAATCCCAGCACTTTGGGAGGCTGAGGCAGGTAGATCATGAGGTCAGCAGTTCGAGACCAGCCTGCCCAATATGGTGAAACCCCATCTCTACTAAAAATACTAAATTAGCCAGGTGTGGTGGCGGGCGCCTGTAATCCCAGCTACTCGGGAGGCTGAGGCAGGAGAATCGCTTGAAACCAGAAGGTGGAGGTTGCAGTGAGCCAAGATGGCACCACTGTACTCCAGCCTGGGTGAAAGAATGAAACTCCGTCTCAAAAAATAAAAATTAAAATTAAAATTTACTATCTGGCCATTTACAGAAAAAGTAAGTTTGATGACCCCTGAACTAATTCATAAAGCAAATTTTAACAAATATCAAAGAATAGCTATCATACTGACTAGATTATCTCATCCTAATGAAATAAAACTAGAAGTTAAAACCAAAGAGGCAGGGCATAGTGGCTCATGTCTGTAATTCCAGCATTTTGAGAGACTGAGACAGGTGGATAACTTGAGGCCAGGAGTTTGAGACCAGCCTGGCCAATATGGCAAAACCCTGTCTCTACGAAAAATACAAAAATTGGCTGGGTGTGGTGGAGCACGCCTGTAGTCCCAGCTACTTGGGAGGCTGAAGCATGTGAATTACTTGAACCCAGGAGGCAGAGAGGTTGCAGTGAGCCAAGATGTGCCACTGCACTCCAGCCTGGATGGTGGAGTGAGACTCTGTCTCAAAAAATAAATAAATAAATAAATAAAATTAAAACCAAAGAGATAGCCAAAATAACCCCATTATATTTGGATGTGTGTCTAAATAATTCATAGAGAAAAGAAGAAACCACAAAGAAAATTACAAAACATTTGGAAGTGAAGGTCCTTAAAACATCATATAAAATTTTTTTGGAATCAGCTAGAACAATGATTAGAGAGAAATGTATATCCTTTAAATAATATATTAGAGAAAGAAAAAGACTAAAAATTAATAAGCTGATGTATCCAGTTTAAGAATTAGAAAAAGAGTAACAGGATAGCCTGAAGAAAGTATTAAGAAAGGAAATAAAAAAGGAAACTAAGGCCGGGCATGGTGGCTCATGCTTATAATCCCAGCACTTTGGGAGGCTGAGGCAGGCAGATTGCTTGAGCTCACAAGTTCAAGACCAACCTGGGCAATATGGCAAGACCCCGTCTCTACTAAATATACAAAAAAATAGCTGGACATGGTGGCACATGCCTGTGGTCCCAGCTACTTGGGAGGCTGAGGTGGGAGGATCACTTGAACCCAGGGAGCAGAGGTCACAGTGAGCCGAGAGCACACCATTGTACTCTAGCCTGAGCCAGACGTCTCAAAAAAGAAAAAAAAAAAGAAGTTACAGAAAAACTGAATAGTTCTATGTTAGTTCTATATCCCTTGTATCAGTTATCTATTGCTGAGTAACAAATCACCCCAAAACATAGTATCTTAAAACAATAATCAGGCCAGGCCTGGTGGCTCACACCTGTAATCCAGCACTTTGGAGGCCGAGGTGGGCAGGTCATCTGAGGTCAGGAGTTCGAGACTAGTCTGGCCAACATGGTGAAACCCCATCTCTACTAAAATACAAAAATTAGTCAGGTGCGGTGGCAAATGCCTGTAATCCCAGCTACTCGGGAGGCTGAGACATGAAAATCGCTTGCACCAGGAGGCAGAGGTTGCAGTGAGCTGAGATCACGCTACTGCACTCCAGCCTGGGTGACAGAGTAAGACTCTCTTTCTCTCAAACAAAAAACAAAAAAACAATAATCAGTCAGCTGGGTATGATGGCTCACGCCTGTAATCCCAGCACTTTGGGAGGTTGAGGCAGGAGAATCGCTTGCGCAAAATTACAGTGGAAGAAAAAAATTGCAATTTTATATTCAAGATGACGTGATTGTCTACATAAAAAATTCATGGATTGGGCACAGTGGCTCTTGCCTGTAATCCCAGCACTTTGAGAAGCTGAGGCAGGAGGATCACTTGAGCCCAGGAGTTTGTGACCAGCCTGGGCAACACAGGGAGAACCTGTCTCTACCAAAAAAAGAATTAGTACAGGTGGTATGCGCCAGTAGTCTCAGCAACTGGGGAAGCCGAGGAAGGGGAATCGCTTGAGCCCAGGGCTTTGAGGCTGCAGTGAGCTGCAATTGTGCTACTGCACTTCAGCCTGGTGACAGAGAAAGACCATGTCTCTAAAAATAGATAACTAAATAAATAAATAAATAAAAATAAGACAACAATCATTTTATGTGCTCATGATTCTGTGGTTAGCAGTTCAGGCCAGGCACATCTGGACAGTTGTTCTGCTGGTCTTACCTAGAGTCACTCTGGCAGTGACAGCCATCTGGCAGCTCTTCTGGGTCCGGACAATCCAGGATGCCCTCCCTCACGTGTCTAGCAGTTGGTGCTGGCTGTCAGCTGAGTCACCTGTCTCCATGGGGTTATTCCAGACTTCTTGTGTTAGCAGAAGGATTCCCAGCAAGCAGCAAAATAGAGCAAGCCCCAGTGCACAGGAGTTTTTCAAGCCGCTGCGTCACACTTGCTAATGTCTCATTGGCCAAATTATAACAAATCTTGGCCAAAGCAAGTCACTGAATCAATGTGGGAGGGATTATGCATAGGTAAGGATACAGGGATAGAGATTCAAGGGGGGTAGGGAGGCTGTTACTGTAACAATCAACCAAGACTGTTAAGTAAACATATAAATCAACCCTCCCTAAATACAATGTGGTAGTCCACACTGGATGTTGGAACAGAAAAAGGACATTAGTGGGAAAACTAATGGCGGTGGTGAAATCCAAACAAAGACTGGAGTTTAGTTAATAGTAATATATCAATGTTAACTTCTTTAGACATATATACCATGGTTATATATTCATATATTAACTTGAGGGGAAACTAGATGAGAGGTATAGGGAAACCCTGTTTACCATCTTTGAAACTTTTTTGTAAGTCTAAAATTATTCCAGAACTAAAAGTTTATTGTAAAAAAAGCAACAACTTTCCAACATACTGGGAAACTATAGGCCTAGGTAATTTTATGGGTGATTTTTGCCAAATTATTCAAGGAACAGATATCCCTCTCTTATTTAAACTCTTTGAGAAAATTCAGGCCGGGTGCAGTGACTCATGTCTGTAATCTCAGCACTTTGGGAGGCCGAGGAGGGTGGATCATTTCAGGTCAGGGGTTCGAGGCCAGCCTGGCTAACATGGTGAAACCCCATTTCTACCAAAAATACAAAAATTAGCTGAGCATGGTGGTGGGCGCCTGTACTCCCAGCTACTCAGGAGGCTGAGGCGGGAGAATCGCTTGAACCTGGGAGTTGGAGGTTGCAGTGAGCCGAGATTGTGCCAAGCCACTATACTCCAGCCTGGGCAACAGAGCAAGACTCCATTGCAAACAAACAAAAACAAAACAAAAAAACAACAAAAGCTGTTTCAGAAAATTGGAAAAGAAGGAATTCTTCTTAATTAACTTTATGAGGTTAGTATAATCTTGTTTGGTCAAGGGCAATATGAGAATATTATAGGCAATCTAACTTATGAAGAGAAAGGCAAACTTCCTAAATGAAGTATTAGCAAACTGTATATAGATACACATATACAAATATACATGCACACACCAGGGATAGAAGAACAGTTTAAAATTAGAAAACCTAAAGTAATTTGCCAAATTAACAGAGTAAAGAAGAACAATCATATAATCATCTCAATAGATGCAAGTAGAAAAAACATTTGATAAAAATTTCATATCACTCATTGTAAAACCTCTTGACTAGCCAGGCGCAGTGGCTCACGCCTGTAATCCCAGCACTTTGGGAGGCTGAGGTGGGTGGATGATGAGGTCAGGAGATCGAGACCATCCTAGCCAACATGGTGAAATCCCATCTCTACTAAAAATACAAAAATAAGCCAGGCATGGTGGTGGGCTCCTGTAGTCCCAGCTACTCAAGAGGCTGAGGCAGGAGAATTGCTTGAACCCGGGAACCTGGGAGGCAGAGGTTGCAGTGAGCCAAGATCATACCACTGCACTCTAGCCTGGACGACAGAGCAAGTCTCTGTCTCAAAAAACAAAACAAAACAACTTTTGACCAATCCAGAATTGAAGGAAACTTCCCAAACCTGAGAAAAGGTATCTACCAAATACCTACAGCAAACAATATCCTTGATGGCAAAATATCTGAAGCATTTCTGTTAAAATCTGACGAGGAAAATCTACCTGCTACCACTGATGCCACTCAACATTGTGCTAGATGTTTTAGCTAGCATAGTATGATGGGAAAAATAAATTCAAAGAATAAAAATTACAATGAAAGAAAAAATTGCAATTTTATATGTAAGATGACATGATTGTCTTCATAAAAAATTCAGGGGCTCTGTGCAGTGGCTCTCGCTTATAATCCCAGCATTCTCGGGGGCTGAGGCAGGAGGATCCCTTGAGCCCAGGAGTTCAAAACCAGCCTGGGCAACATACGGAGACCCCATCTCTACAAAAAAATTTTAAAACTAGCTGGGTATGGTGGTGTGTGCCTGTAGTCCCAGCTACTTGGGAGGTGGAGGTGAGAGGATTGCTTGAGTCTGGGAAGTTGAGGCTGCAGTGAACTGTGATCTTACCACTGCACTCCAGCCTGGGCAACAGAGTGAGACCTATTCCAAACAACAACAACAACAACAACAACAACAACAAATCAGGGACATTTATAAGTGAGCTGTTTAAGAAGAGTTTAGTTAGGTGACTGGATATAAAGTCAATATACAAATGTGAAATAAAAAAATTTAACAATTATATCCAGGAGGGAAGATGAGGAACAGGAAGAACAGGATGGAGGACGGGGCTTATCCATAGGTGTAGTTTGCTTATTAAATAAAAAAAAAAAAAAAAAAAAAGGAGACTAGGTGTGGTGGCTCATGTCTGTAATCCCAGCACTTTGGGAGGCCCAGGTGGGCGGATCACTTAAGGTTAAGAGTTCGAGACCAACATGGTGAAACCCTGTCTCCACTAAAAATACAAAAAATGAATCAGGTGTGGTGGTGCGTGCCTGCAATCCCAGCTACTTGGGAAGCTGAGGTGGGAGAATTGCTGGAACCTGGCTGGAGGTTGCAGTGAGCTGAGATCGCACCACTGCACTCCAGCCTGGGTGACAGAGTGAGACCCTGTCTCAAAAAAAAAAAAAAAAAAAAGAAGAAGAGATCTGCAACAAATAAAGCACAAGTATGTCTACTATATTTTTCATTTGTTGAATGTTTCTATGTAATATACATAATACATATAGAATGATATATGCAACATATATATGATTTAGAAGGTATAATTTCAAAATGAGCCTCATGACCCTTACAACTAACTTAAAAACTAGAATTTTACAAAGACCATTTTACTATTGTGTCCTCCTTCCCCATCCTTTGTCTTCCAGCCTACAGGCAAGCTCTATTCTGAATGTCGCAGTTATAAATTATTTGATATTTTAAAATAGGGTTTGAGCTATCATATTATTTTCTGTACTTTTCAATGTGTTTGAAATGCTTCCAAATTTTAAAAATTGCAAAATACGTCTAGTCACAAGTGTATCATATATCTCTAAGAGGAAACACGATTATTGGAAAAGAAATGTTTGGAAAGAGTAGGTTGACTAGGGAGAGCTTCTTGGTTTCCTAACGTGTACTGACCTTACTATTCATTCATTCATATTTCCTGAGCACATTCTTGGTGCCAGGCACTGTGCCAGGTGCCGGGGATGCAGTCACCTGCATTGGTTGATCCCCGGCTGGGATAAGGTGTGTGCAGTGCATCAACGTGGTAGCTGGAGCACAGTTGCACGCAATGGTGACCAGTATTATTATTATTAGCTCCTAAGGAATGGCACAAAGTTTCCACCTGCTAAAATCAGGATCAGTTTCTGACCCTTGGCTTTACTGTGCCCAACATGTGTTCATTAGAGTCTGCATCTGGCTTGTTCCAGGCACTTGATGAAGCCAGCATCACCAGCAGGGGACCTGGGGTGTGGGAGAGGCCCTCTGTGGAGCAGCCCTGGAGGGCGTGCAGGGTGCAGAAGGCCTGTGGATTTTAGAGATGCTCAGAGTCCTGGGGGTGGGTGTGATTGCTCCTGAAGGAGACACACAGTCTCCCTGGGCCTCTGCCCAGGCCTGGCTTTGGCTCTCATTCCTTGCTGTTTGTGCCTCTCTGCGTCACCTTCAGCCACACAATCAAACATGTATAACAAAGAAACCCAAACAAGACATCAAATTCGGGTAGCATTTAAGTTTGCTGTTACTGAGAATCAGTTCTTGAACCAAAAGGAATTTTGTTGGGGGTAGGATTGAGGTGGAGGGTATAGGGTGTGGTTGGCTTCATTATACTAGCACAAAATAATGACCCAGTTCTCTGAAAATTCTGGAAACCCTGCTGTCATGGATAAGGATGCCAAAATGGCTCGGGGGTGTGCTGATGCTCAGAGGCCTGTGGGGTCAGTTCCTGTTTGGTGGGAGCTCATGAAACTGTGCGACAGGCTTCTAGCTTCCTGGCCCTGTGAACAAGGCTGCTCCAGGCCCTCCCTGGGTGTGGGGATGTCTTAGAGGGCAGAGGACCACTTCCTTGGGGACACTGCCTTCAGCACGTGGGAGGCTCTCCCATAGTTTCACTTGAAAGATGCAGACTTTGAAAGTGCGCTAGGCTCTGATGCCAGCCGCTTCCTCTTGGTCTGGAGCCAAGGAATACCTGGGTCAGGGCATGTCCAAGCCTCTCTCCTGGGATCACATCACTGAAACTGTGCCTTGGCTTTGTCCTGGGAGCCTGGGAGCCTCACAGTGGCTGGTGGGGAGGGAAGCTGTAAGAGTGCCCAGTCTGCTGCTCCTGTCTGGGCCTTTCTTTCCTTACAGCCCTAAGCCTGGAGCTGTGGAACTGCTTGCCAGTGTTGCCGCCCCATAGGCTGGCAAAGCCTGCTAGGACGGAAGGCCTGTAATTTGTGACTCATGGCCTGTCGCCGACCATGGGTTGGCAAGCCACACTCCAGGCGGTGCTGAATCACTCTGGCTTGCCTGTTCTGCTGGCATGCAGGGTGCATAGCCTTTGCACTGGCACGCGGGCATGAGGAGGTGGGTATTGTAAAGCCCACCCTTGATGGCTGGGTGGAGTTGGGCTCAGCTCCTGGGGAGAGGGCAACGTGGGGCCAGGGGCTGTCTGCTGGGGCTGCAGCTCCCTGCACAGGCTTGTGGAGAGACCTTGGAGCGCAGGTCACATTGCTGTGTCAGGTTCAGACACCCTCTGCCTCAGGAAGGCCCTGCTTGCTCAGGTCCCCTCAGTCCCTGGCAATGACAGGCTCCTTCTTTGCTCTGTTCCCTAGCTGGCCCTGATTAGAATGCAGTTTGCATGATCAAGGCTGGTGCAATGCATGGTCTGCCTAAGGTCTCTCAGGTGACCTTAGGAGTCAGAGTCCCTGGCTGGCCAGGGACAGCCCGGCTACTGACCTGGGCCCGCTGGCCACTCACTCAACCTTTTTTCATCATTAGCTTACAAAACAAGGACAGAAGTCAAAACAGTGAAAAGCAGCCGGGTGTGGTGGCTCACGCCTGTAATCTCGACACTTTGGGAGACTGAAGCGGGCAGATTATTTAAGGTTTGAGACCAGCCTGGTCAACATGGTGAAGCCCCATCTCTACTAAAAATACAAAAATTAGCTGACCTTGGTCACGGGTGCCTGTAATTTCAGCTACTTGG